AACAATGAAACATTTAGATTAATTTTTAATACTTTCACAATATTAATAATAGAGCTGAAGGAAAATTACTCTTCAGAGCAAAACAGGGAATTCGACAACTCTTCATTCTTCTGCCTGCCTTCTAAAGTATTGTCGAATTTCTAGTGAAATGGAACATCAGGATCATGGATAAAGAATGACTGACACTTTCCACGGTCCTGTCTTCTTGTAGAGAATCTTCGGACACCCTCCACGTAACAGGATGCCATAAGGTTTTGAGCTCACGCGGTAGGGCCCGTGTTGAGAGGACTTTTCGACCCAACAGAAGAGACTATCTGATCATAAAAATCCACCTGCAAGGTTTTTTCGGTGACAACTCGGAAGTGGCTGTACATAGTGGTAACAAAGGACACATGCTAGAATGGTGTGAATCCCAATATTCTGTATAGCTAAGCAGATTGTGGTCGCACGAAACCTAGGACACGGGCAGGATTTCAACCAGCCGCCTTCTTTGTTCTAGTGCTTGGTGGACCTCTGTAAAGTATGGCTTCTCTGCGCCGACAATTTCTACCACGGAGGGACAGACGAATGCAGACCGCGTAAGGGTCGGAAAGATCGGCCAGTAGGTCGAGGCCAGCAATCTTCATTGCCTAGACAGGCCTTATTCGGTAGATTCAAGAATCCCAAACGTGCAAGGCTTTCTGCGAAATCGAAACTTATCGAAGAGGCTCTCGAAAGCCCGACTTCGTCATGAGTCAGGGAAACCTCCAGGCTGTCCACGAACTGGTCCCCTCACCGAAAGGCAGTGACAACCACCTTTTTTCCCTCTGCCGAGTGCTGATTGGTCTTGCCAGTCGAGGGGACGCCTGTAATGGAAGCGGCTATGAGGATGGTCGAAAACGCACACACATACACATTCATACAGCTCCACTACGCACAGCAAATGCACATGCATACACAGTTAAGCACTCAGTAGTAAAGACACATGACAGAGTGGTTCCGCTGCGATCGGATAGGTTAAGAGGACTCGGGTGAGAGATGAAAAGACGAGCCACGTGTCTGCTCACAAGGTAGAGAGGTGGCTGGGAGTCCTGTGCTTGGAGCGTTCAACCAATTGGACGACGAGACTGGCCT